AAAAAAAAAAAAAAAAAAAAAGACTGCTGTGAATGTTTGACAAGGCCATGTACAGAAGGAAAGTGTTTGACTCATGCCAATTGTGCAATGAATGGTGGCAGTTATTTGCCCTAACAGTGGCCCAGACAAGCATTAGAAAAACTCACCGTTCCCTGATACAAGAGGAAGCTCAAGATTTGGAACCAGATGAACTTGGTTTGAGCTAAGGGATTTGCCAATTACTATGTGATCTTGGACAAGTCATTTCACCTCTTTGGACCTATCTGCGAAATGAGACCAGTAAATCAGCCTCCAGGCTGGGGAAGACATTTAAAGGGAATGATGAGTGTGGAGGGGTCATAGTAATAATACAAAAGATCATTTCTATCGCTCCTGAGCAGTGTCGTTTACTTTCCTAGAGGATTTACATGGGTTGACTTATAAATCACGGCTGTTAATAATCATGATGACCAAGTAATTTAACAACGACCAACCCTAGGGGTAGAGACCTGGACTGAGCCGCCTGTATCCAATCCCCTTCCTCTGGGCAGGCAGAGACGTGTTTGAAATAAAGTTTATTGAAGTTTCTGTCGGTATTTACATATGATACACGGTAAATAATAGAGCCAGGCCCCCCCCCAGCCCACCCCTTTCCCCACCCCAGTGCCCCCCAGCCTCGTTAAAAATCGCTGCATAAAGACGGGTTAACTGCTGCGGACCCCACTCCCCCTAAGATGCAAACTAAAAAGCCCCTGTCCCTCCCTTGCCCCTCCCCCCACCCCGGGGGGCCATTCTGGTTCCGTGTACAACACTGTGCTACCTCTCCCCTCCTCCCCAATGAGAAGGGGGTGAGCGAGTTTCTGGTGACCTCCCCTCCCCCAAAATCTGTCCAAGGGGGGCAGAAGGGCCCTAGAAAGAGGCCAGAATTGGGAGACTGAGATGGGAAGAGGGACGTCAATGAGGAGGGCCAGAAAATGGAAGACTTAGAGGTTTTGGGGGGGTGTCGACCCCCGCTACTGCCCCTCCCTCCCCCGACGGGGCCTCGAGGGGGGAGAGGCGGGCACAGGTGTGGGATGGCATGGGGTAACTCCCTCCACCTAGGGTCCCCATCCTTGTCGTTTGGTGTGCGGGGCTGGATGTACCTGCTTTAGACCAGCAGGTAAAGAGAAGGAAGAGTTAGAGGAGGCGGAAGAGGAAGAAAAAGAAGCCAAGGTCAGCCGAGAAAACAAGGAGATCAGGACAGAGCCCCCTAAAAGGCAGGTAACCTTCAGGAGGTAGAAAAGAGCCCAGCCGGTGAGAAAAAATGAGGTCTCCCAGGGGAGCAGAGAAGGGGTTGGGGGAAAGCCCAGGTCAACCACAACGGTAGACTCCAGGCTCTCACCCTACTCAGGAGCTGTGGGAGGGGGTAGCAGGTCCTCTGGCTGAACCAGAGTACCCTGCAGATCAGGAGGTGAGATAGGCAAGAAAAAAGAGAAGTCCAGGGCACAAGAGAGAAAAACATGGCTGGCATTCCTGGTAGTTGCTGAAACCTACTCTCCAGCCCAGCGCCCCAGCCGTGGGGTGGATCTTGGGGTAGCTGGGCTCCAGCGATGCGATGGGATGTTGGGTGAGAGGAGCAGGAAGAATGAGGGAGGAGTTAGTTGCCTGGGAGAAAGTGGGCCAAAGAAAAGGGGTGGGTCCTTAGGACAAAGGGGCGGGCAAACGAAGGGGAGGAGTCATTTGGAAAAGGAAAGGACCAATGAAGAGGAGAGGTCTGAAAGGGCGGAGTCATTGAAATAAGTTTGGGCTAAAGGAAAGAGGCGGGGCCTAAAGCTGGCTCCGCATCCCCCGGGTGGGAGGGAGAAGTCCAGAGGAAGGGAGTGGGTGCTGCATAGTTGGGGGACCCACGAGGAGGAGGAAGAAGAAAAGGAAGAAGGAGGCAGGGAGCTTCGAGGGGCGGGGCCTCAGCAGGGAGAAGTGGAGATGTGCAGGTGGTCCGGGTACTTGATCGCGGGAGGGTAGTTCTGAGTCATCTGGATGGATACGTCGCTGGAGATGTCGGATGGGCTGCGGCCACGGCGCCATGCCTCGGGCTGCAGAAACTGGCCCGAGTAGTCGGAGCAGTCGCTGAGACGCGGGCGGTAGAAGGCTGGGTGTGGACGGTACATTTCCTCCTCCGCGTAGCGCTTGGTGAACAGGTACACTGACATCACGCCGGCTCCCTGTGGCGAGGCACAGTCAGAATCCTAGCGGCGTCTCCCCACCTCCTCTTACTCCAGGACTCAGGAGTCCCGGGCCCCAGCCCCATCCTCACTTAGGACCCTGGATCAGAGCTTTAGCCCCTTCCTCTCCCAGGGCCCCAGGAGTCCAATATCCCCCAACCCCCTCCCCTCCCAGGACCCAGGATCAGAGCTCCAGCCTTCTCCTTTTCCAAGACCTCAGAAGTCCAAGGCCTCAAAGTCCCCCTTCCCTTAAGACCCAGGAGTCCCAGTCCCCAGCCTCCTTCCCCAAAACCTCAAGAGTTGTACTCTCGGACCTCTCTTCCTCCTGGACTTAAGACATTGAGCTGTCACCTCCCTCATCTTCCTTCTGGACTCAGGAATCAGCTCCCCTTCCCGTCCCAGGACTTTTTCCTACTAAAAACTTTAGCGTCTGGGTCCCACCAACATCACCTCTTTGAGTAGGAAGGAGGAAGCAGCAAATGCAAACGACCATCCATAGCGATAATGAAAATACTGCTCCGAGCTGCTGGGCCTGTTCATGACCTCGTCATTGATGCTGGAGATGTAAAGAACCAAGCCCACCACCAAGGAGAGGCCTGGGGGAACAGAGGGAGTAACCTTGGTGCATTAGAAGTACCTCTCTCCCAGTCCTATCTCCCCTTTCTGTCTTGCACTAACTTCTCTGAAGCTCCTTGTGTGCTGGGCCCTGTTGGGTGCAGAGACCCCAGAATGATTCAATAATCTCCTCCTACTCCCCATTCTGCCACCCAGGGACTCACAAATGCAATTGGAAAAGGTGAATATGAACCCTGATCAATAGTGACACATATGGTGATAATGTGCTATGAAGAAGCAACATAGCCCTGTGAGAGTCCAGAAGAGGCACCAGACCCACCTGGGGCAGGGGCAAGAGAAATCAAGTGAAGATTCTTTTGTCTGAATCTTAAAAGATGAGGCCCCAGGGAAGAATAAGGGCACACTATCCCCTTACTCCCAGCAGAGGATACAGCATGGGCAAAGGGGGCATTGAGCCACCCCATCCATGTAGCTAGAGCATGGGACAGGGACAAGGCCACAATGAGCCTCAAATGCCAGGCTGAGGAGCTTGGCATTGACAGCAGGGGCACTAGGGAGCCATGGAAGGTTTGTAGCAGAGGTAGGACAGGGCCAGATCAGAGTGTTAGAAAAGCTTTTGGGGGGGCAGTGCCTGTGGCTCAGTGAGTAGGGCACCGGCCCCATATACTCAGGGTGGCGGGTTCAAACCTGGCCTTGGCCAAACTGCAACAAAAAAATAGCCAGGCATTGTGGTGGACGCTTGTAGTCCCAGCTACTCAGGAGGCTGAGGCAAGAGAATCGCCTAAGCCCAAGAGCTGGAGGTCGCTGTGAGCTGTGACGCCACGGCACTCTACCAAGGGCAACAAAATGAAAATCTGTCTCTAAAAAAAAAAAAAAAGAAGATCTTTTGGGGCTGATTGGTGCTGGAAACAGATTGGATGGGGCCGCTGGAGTTGTGATACAGGTAGTCCTGTAGTTACAAACATCTGACATACATACAATTTGCATTTACAAATCGAGGCTATTACGGGTTATAGGTAAAGGTACCCATTCCAACTTACATACAAATTTAACTTAGGAACAAACCCACAGAACCTATCTCATTCATAACCCGGGACTGGCTCTGTGTTCTAGGGTGAAGAGGACAAGGTCTGAGCAAGGGCTATATAGATAATAATTGCAGCAACAATATCAATAATAATAGCAAGTACAGTAGAACCTCTGTAAGTTGACCACTCAAGGGACTGTACCAAATGGGTCAACTTACAGAGGTGGTCAACATAAAGAACTAGTCCTTAGTACATGTGATGCATATCCAGTCTATGAAAATTAGGTCAATTTAAGGAGGTGGTCAACTATAGAGATTCTACAGTACTTATATAGGTCTTGGTCTGTGCTAGGCACTATTCCCAGTGTGGTATTTATAAACTCATTGAAACCTCACAACCACCCTTTGAAGTAGACACATTTTTATCACCATTTACAGTTGAGGAAATAGAGCCATATGGACAGTGTGGAGAGGCGAGGTCTGGTTTGAGAATTTTTAAGAGGTGATTATCATTTTCTCAAGATGAACTTTCCTTTAAATGGTAGCCATGCCAAGAGAAGCTTAAAAGACCATAAAGTCCCCTGACCTAAATTAATCCAACTAGTTCTAGCAGAATCTTCCCCCAGAATCCTACAAATAAACATTTGTGTACCTATAACACACAGAACAAATCTCAATTCCTTTCATTCCCTACAACAGGGGTCCAGAGACTAAATCCAGCCCACTCTTGTTTGTGTATGGACTGCCAGCTAAAAATGGCTTTTACATAATTAAATAATTTTTTTTAAAAACCTCAAAAGAAGAATGCTATTTTGTGGCACATTAAATGCATATATGTATAAATTTCATTCGACAGTTTCTCAAAAAGCTAAAGATAGAATTACCATATGACACAGGAATTCTACTCCCAGGTGTGTACCCAAAGGGTTAGAAACATATGTTCACACAGAAAAAAACTTGTACACAAACGTTTGCAGCAGCATTATTTGTAACAGCCAAAAAGTGGAAACAGGCTCAGCACCTGTAGCTCTGAGGCTAGGGCACCAGCCACTGACAACTACAACCAAAAAATAGCTGGGCGTTGTGGTGGGTGCCTGCAGTCCCAGCTACTTGGGAGGCTGAGGCAAGAGAATTGCTTGAGCCCAAGAGTTGGAGGTTGCTGTAAGCTGTGACACCACGACACTCTACCAAGGGTGACATAGTGAGACTCTGTCTTAAAAAAAAAAGTGGAAACAGCTCAAATGTCCATCAGCGGATGAATGGATAAACTAAATGTGGTACATCCATATAAAGGAGTATTACTGAGCTAAAAAAGAGAATGAAATACAGATTTATGCTACCACAGGAATGAACCTAGAGATCATAATAAGTAGCCAGATGCAAAAGATCACATATTGTGTGATTCCATTTATATGAAATGTCAGAATAGACAAATCCGTATCTACGGAGGCAGGAAGTATATTAGTAGTTGCAAGGGAATGAGATGGAGGAGAAGATTGTGACTGGCCATTAAAGGGTGTGAGGTTTCTTTGGAGGGTGATGAAAATGGGAAAATTATTAATGGAGATGGTTGTGCAACCTTGTGAATATACTAAAAACCAACAAGTTATATGAATATTATATAAACTCCCAAACTCAAGGGATCCTCCTACCTTGCCTTCCCAGAGTGCTAGGATTACAGACATGAGCCACTGTGCCCAGCCAGCAGCATTATTTGTAATTGAAAAACATTGGAAATGACCTAAATGCCCTTACATAGAGGATTGATGGAATAGACTGTGACTATGAAACATCCATATAACAGAGAACTGTGCCACTGTAAAATAAAAATGAGGAAGATCTCTAGGAACAGATACCACATCCAGTGATGGCTCCAGATCATATCACTAAGTAAAAACCAAAAAGTCCAGTAATATGCAAAAGAGTATGCAATATGGGCAGCGCCTGTGGGTCAAAGGAGTAGGGTGCTGGCCCCATATGCTGGAGGTGGCAGGTTCAAACCCAGCCCCAGCCAAAAACTGCAAAAAAAAAAAAAAAAAAAAAAGAAAAAAGAATATGCAATATGCTACCTTTAAGCAAGAAAGAAGGGTACATAAAAGTACATCTGCTTATATGTGCAAAAAAAGAGAGAGGAGAGAGAGAGAAAGAAATAGAAAGGGGAAAAAATAAACACAAAAAGTTGATTACCAGGCAGCATCTGTGGCTCGAAAGGGCACTGGCCCCATATGCCGGAGGTGGCGGCCAAAAAAAAAGTTGATTACCTATAGGGGGTACGAGAGAACAAAAAAGAAGATAGAGAGGGAGTGGTATTTCTCTGAGTACATATTTTCATGTGATTTTTGACCTTTGGAATGATGCTAGTATTTTATATATTCAAAAGATATAATTAATGAAGATGGGGGAAATTTAAATTAAATATAAACAGAAATAAATGCATCTAACTTTATATCAAATGAAGACTATAGCCACAGTATATTGTAATCCAAGTAACATTTGTTTTGTATTTATTTTTCTTTTGAGACAGGGTCTCACTCTGTTGTCCTGAGCAGAGTACAGTGACATCATCATAGCTCACTGCAGCTTCCAACTCCTGGGCTCTAGCGATCCTGTTGCCTCAGCCTCCCTGGTTGCTGGGACTATAGGTGCTAGCCACAACACATGGCTAATTTTTTCTATTTTTGGTAGAGATGGGATCTTGCTCTTGTTCAGGCTGGTCTCAACTCTTGACCTCAAGGGATCCTCCTGTCTCAGCCTCCCAGAGTGCTAAAATTATTCCACTGACCCCATCTAACTTTTGAATGCAACACTTTGATTAAATATTTTAGTCTAAAGACAGGATGATCTGCAAAGAAATTTTGAACCTTATCTAGTAGGTTTTTTGTTTTTGTTTTTTTTTTGAGACAGAGTCTCAGGCTAGAGTGCTACGGCATCAGCCTAGCTCATAGCAACTTCCAACTCCTGGGCTCAGGTGATCTCCTGCCTCAGCCTTCTGAGTAGCTGGGACAACAGGCACCTACCACCATGCCCAACTAATTTTTCTAATTTTAGTAGAGACTGGGTCCGACTTTTGCTCATGATGGTCTCGACTCCAGTGATTTACCCTCCTGGGCCTCCCAGAGTGCTAGGATTATAGGCATGAGCCACCGTGCTCAACCTAAAAAAATTTTTAAGAGCGTCAGTAAAGATGTACTTGTTGTGTTCCCAAGCCAGGAAGTGCTCAAAAAATGATGAGTGCGTGTCAAAAAAGGCAACAGGCTCGAGCTTCAAGTTTCCAGGGAGTCGAACTGATGATAATTTGAGCATCAAAATCCACAATAGAAATAATGGCATATAACACATTGAATTTTTTTTTAAATGCATGAGTTTATACTGAAGTTTTTCTTTTTTTTTTT